GTTACTAATACAAGTAGTCACTCGCCCCCATATTATTGTTATTTATTATTATTAAATCTTTTTTCTTTTTCTTTTTCTTCTCTCCCCACAATCAATCATCAAATAGAGCCATGAAACTTTTTCTTGGCCCAACACCTAACACATTCACAAAATAAAAAGTGAAATAGAAAATAAAACGTATACTGATACTGGATTGGATTGGATACCTCATGCAACATAAATTCTTGATTCGACTTTTTCCGAACATTATCAATCTCTTTGAGAAAAGTCATCTAGAAAGATTGTGTTGCGTGAATCTAATAAAAACTATTTTGATTGATTAAATGTATCAAATGTTATGTAAAAGGTTTAATCTTTTTGGTGGGGAGTGTAGAAGACTAGAGAGTGGAGAGACAAAGAGGACGTATACGTGTTTGTATTACGGAGTCGGATTTTTTCGGGCCAGAATCTCAATCTAGAGTTAGATTGGAATTGGATGTGGTCCTAGATTTTAATGTGGTACCAATACTATTCATCTTCATTTATCACAAGTCGCCAAAAAGTCATCTAAGATCTTTTTATTTGTAGCTTTAAAGAAGCACTTTTCCTTATTATTGTTTGTTATTTGAACACTATCAAATTGTGGAAATATAATCGTTTTTCATTTGCATAACTAAAGATATCTAAGCAAGCTTTAAGTCGCATGAGACTATTGGAACGATTGGATTAAAAAAAATTATACGGATTCAATTATCAAAATTGGTTATCCAAATTTTTTGGATACTATTGTATTTAAAATTATGTATATTTTAAAGTAAATACCAATGTTGTAAAAATTGGCTAGGCGTCTAGATAGTTGACACACTTTTATTATTTACAATTAATGCTAATCGATCCAATTAATTTGAGTCAGTAACTTGTTTGGCGGTCGGCAGTCTAGATGGTTCAAGTCTGTAAAAAAATAAAACTATCCGAATTTTAAAAATAAGTCTCTAATTAGTCAAACCAATGATAATGAGTCACTAAATTATAAGGATTGATGACTAAAATGTCAAAACGGTCATCGATTAGTCTAAAATTCATAATGTTTGATGGTTTAAATATATACAAACACTTGAATGTCAATTTTTATGTTTAATTACTTATTTTGTTAGGATATAGATAATAATTATTATTTAAATAAATTCTATTATAATTAAGGGTCCTCACCTAGACAGATTAGTCTATTGATCCAATCGACAACCCGACTATCGTCTAGCAACTTTTACAATCTTGGTAAATACTACTTAAAATTGTATAAAAAATAATGATATTTTTATTCAAACGGTCATTATTATACATATTAATTTTGGACATGGCTTATGAACAGTGGTCGATATTGAACCGGCTTCAATACTACCCTGTTTCAATCCATAATCCACGTCCATCATCCTCTAATCGGTAAATTGGGATCGCTCTTCTTAGGTCTCATTTATACTTTATTTATATATCTAATAAGAAGTATAAAATTGGTGACTAGAAGGTGAAAAAAGTAGAAAATAAAATATAAAGACAAAAAAAAAAAAAAAAAAAAAAAATCAAATCGAATTAGGTGTAATAAGTAATAAAAAGCACAATAAGTAAAATTAAATATATAAAATTTAAAAATAAAAAAATAATTTGTGCTAGCATGTGTGTTGTATATGAGTATTAAGTGACTTATGTACATTCGTTCTAGCAAATCGAACAACTATTTGTGCTGTGTATAAGCGTTTTACTTATATAAAATTATAAGTTCTATAAAAGTAGGAGTTGTGAAATTAACATACAAGTGTTTATTAACACTTAATAGAATACAGGTACTTGTAAACAGTACAAGTATGCGTTCAAACTACATATAAGTATTATTTGTATTTATACGATTGCTTTTAGAGTGTATTCGATGCTACCATGAGACTATAATTGAACCATATGACTAGATCAATCCTCCTTCGGTGCCATAGTGAATGCACCACAATGCTTTTAGTGAATGCATCGCAACAAGTTCTATACAAGGCTTCATATTTATAGCATTTATTCTCATCCTTCACAAAGGGTTTGAATTAATCATCCCAAATCTTGCTCCCTTATTCATACTTTTTCTTCTTGAAATCTTGATTATTTCTTTCTCCTACACTTATTTCATGTTTCCTCTTGTTACTTGCAGTTTCGGTTCTATCCTTGTATCGTTCTTCTAAAGTTTTCTCAACTTTCATGCCTTCCTCATTGCCATAACCAAAGTAGTCGACTCTCCAAAGTTCAACTTGTAGTTCCAAGGTAGATAATTGATGTATTAATCCACTTTGGTTGCCTCATTAAGAGCTAATCTCTGCGCAAAACTCAACATAAGCACATGAATAATATGTAATACTTACAACACCAAAATTCCAAAATAATAAAATATATAATATAATGGTGTTAAAAAGAGAGACCAAAATTGAAATCAAACCCTCTCTAAGAAAACTATATTTACAAAATTAAAAATTTCTAAACTTTATTTAAAGAAAACGACAAAACTTGACTATTTTCCTATTTATTAAATATATAATAAAAATTAAACTGATAGGTCTAAGTTGATAAAAGAGTTCTTAAATCTCTTATAGGAAAATAACATAAAAGTTACTAAATTTACACTAAAATTCTAATTTGACATTGTGTTTTATTTTGTCTCAAACTAATTTGACCATGTATTTTCTAATTTGTTACAATTCTAACTACTTGATCGGTCAAACCGGTTGTCTACTTAGATGACATGATGATATGTCCGTTTAGATGACGTGACATATTGACATGATATGTTGATATATAAAATTAATTTTTTTTTCACAAAACACACTAAATTTTCATTTTTTTTTCAATTTTTACACTAAGATTTTTTTATTTCAATTTTGAAATTCTATTTTTTTGTTCCAAATCTAACATTATTTTTTTTTTCCAATTTTATTTAATATCGACCATTTTCCATTTGAAATTATATATATATATATATATATATATATATATATATATATATATATATATATATATATATATATATGTGTGTGTGTGTGTGTGTTTGTGTGTTAAATTTTATAACCATATTTTTATATAAATACAAGGTTTTTTTTTATACCATAATGTTATGTATACATATGTATTAGTTATATTATAACCGTATTTTACATTAAATATACAACTTTAAAATGAGTTTTTAGATGTGGAGTACCGCACAATCACATAAGCTAATTTGATATTGGGAACATGAGGGTCTGATGTTCGCTTTAATTACCAATGTATCATTCGTTGTATATATTCGCACAACAAGAATTCGGAGTATTAGGGACGACGTTGTTTGGGACGACATAATCAATAGCGGCGACACCAGACTTGACGCGCTGTATGTCGCCGCTAAAACCACGCCGTCGTCGCTAATAGCGGCGTCGCTAAAGACAGACACCGGTGATCCGTCGGAGATACGCTACTTTCAATCGTGACCCTTGGTTTGGAAAATAATCCAACGGATAGGGTTTAATCCTGTGATAAGGCATTAGAGACGACGCCTTTAGCGGCGACATGTCGCCGCTAAAGGGTCCGATCCGTTAACGCACCCTAAAACGAAATCTGACCCTACAATTCCAACCAAATCCAACGGTTGGTAATCGCCAAAAAGTGCGCGTATGATTCCCTCCAATTTGTCGCCGCAAATAGCCACATGTCGCCGCTATTAGCGTCACCGCTAATAGCTTAGCCCTTTATGTTCCAGTTCGTCTTCCCCAGACGCTATTAGCGTCCCTTTTCTTTCAACCGGCGATTCCGGCGACTCCGGCGACTCCGGCGACTCCCAACGCTCTCCACCGCTGATTGGGCTACAAACCCTTCTCCCACCGGCCGATTGTCCTCCAAAACCGAGTCCCACCCACCGGCGGTTTAACTCCAAAGCGAGTGTCCTCCAATTCCGACGGGAGCTTCGATTTCGTGTTCATTTCTCCGGCGAGGTTAGTGTTCTTGCTCATATCTCCGCCCATTGTACTCCATTTAACACCACCGATTCTTATTTGAGTTGATTTCTTTTTTTTTTTTTTTTGTTCTTCGTTCCAGCAAGGTTAAGTTCAGCAGCTTCACCACTGAAAAGTTGTTCTAGCTTTCATTTTGCTGGCAGACAGGTTAGTTTGATTAGTATAATTTGATGTAAACTGTAAAATTGTTTATGAACCTAGAACTAGAACTGTGAATTTGATCTTTTTTTTCAATTGGTTGAATGTGTGTTTAGTTGATTAATTTGAATGTGTGTTTAGTTGATTAGTTGATTAATGTGGTTGAATATATATATATATATATATATATATATATATATATATATATATATATATATATATATATATATATATATAGTTGTTGATAAATTTATATATATCATGTATGAGTTTGATAAATTTATATGTGAAATTGATATATATATATATATATATATATATATATATATATATATATATATATATATATATATATATATATATATATATATATATATATATATATACTTGTTGATAAATTTATATATATCATGTATGAGTTTGATAAATTTATATGTGAAATTGATATATATATATATATATATATATATATATATATATATATATATATATATATATATATATATATTTGTGAAACTATTGTATGTTAATCATGAATTTGTATGTAAAATTTAAGAATATTCGTATGATTATTAGAAATATATTTTATTGTATATTAAAAGAATAAAATGAATACATCATAATAGATAATTTTTTCTATAAGTTAATGAAGAAACATTCGTAAAACAGGTTCTTAAAAGAAAAAAAACTAATTAAATAAATAACAAATATATAATATCATTTATCAGTAAAATTTAATAATAAAAAAAATTAAAAGTTAAAACGCTACGCTAAATCTATAAGTTATGAAAAAAAAAACGATAATATAAATAACAAATATATATACTATCGTTTAAAGTATCATTTTTTTGGATTGCATTGCTCCATCTCATGGCTGCTGTGATGGGTCATGGAGGCGACGGTGGTGACGAGCCACCACATCCGTTCGGTGGGGGTTTTGGTGATCACCAAAACGATGGTAATTAAAATCTATTCTAATTCAATGTATTTCACATTGTATGTATATAAAAAATTATTCTGACTAATATTTTTTTTATGCAGTGGTGCTTCTGAAACGAAGAGGCATGGCGGTAAATAAAAAAATGCACAAACTCTATAAAGCTAACGGTGAACGGCCTCTTAAGATAGTATTTGACGTAAATACTAACATGCCGATTGGGGAGGTGTATGAATGTTTTATTCGGGAGGTTGGGAGCTATATGTGGCGGGACATCGGTTTTGATAAAGACACATGGACAGAGGTTTCTGAAGCCGAAAGGGTTGGAATGTTGCAGTATCTTTCGGTAAATTATTTATAAAGTTATATATTTAATATTTTTAATTTTGATTTATTTTTAATTTATCTATTTTTTTTGTAGAGATGGTTTGATTTTGACGCGATTACAAATCATCCCATGGCTTCAACTTATTGGGCATCACTGAATAATCGGATATGTGCGCGGTATAGAGGCCGCAAAAATATTGCAAAAAACCGTTTTGATGATTTTGCAGGGAATGTGGAGGCAGCAAGGGCTCAAGCCCCTAGGGGTATGGATCAGCAGCGTTGGAATGCTGCTATTGACCATTTCTTAACAGAAAAACATCAAAAACGATCCGCTGGAAACAAAGAATGCCGGAAGAAGCAAGTAGTGAAGAATCGTGGAGGGACGTGCAACTACGGTAGTGCTTGTTTCAAAAAAGTAAGTTACAATAGTGTTTATTCAGTTATAACATATTTTTTAATGTTTATTCAACTATAACATATTTTGTAATGTTAAACAGAATTTGAATAGACTTGAAGTATTTCATCGTGCGCATGTAAATAAAAGAGGGGAATTTGTTGATCCATTGGTTGAAGAGCAATATGTAAGTTATTATTACTTAAAAATGAAGTAGATTGTTAATTTTTTTTTGTTAGTTTTAACGTATATTAACAATCTTTGTGAAATACAGAATGCCTTAGTTGCTGAGGTTGCTCTACAGACTCATCACATAGCCGACTCTGGTGGTGATCCAGACACCATTGATTGGATCGCAATATTTGAGAAGGTGTTGGGTACTCGAAGGGGGCATGTGAGAGGTATTGGGCCTAAAGCTTCTTCAACTGCGGGTACAAGTGCTTCATCCCAATGGCAGCCACAATCACAAGCATCGCAACCAACGCAGGTACTTGTTAAATTCTTAAAAAAATTGGTTGCTTTGTTATATTGTTAAGAACTTAATGTATTTGTAGTAACTTTTGGTAACTCGGTAGTTTCTTAAATTGTTATAGACTTAATTGATTTGGTGCTTTGATGGTTTGTTGAATTGTTCATAACTTATTTGTTTGTGACTTAATTGTAGGATGTTGATGTGAACGCTTTTCTTCAAAACCCGACATTTGTGACGGCCATTGGAGACATTATTCGCTCGTTTAAAAACCAAGTCAACGAGGAAAACAACGATGGGGAGGACGGTGGGGAAGACGAAGACAACTAGTATTTCTTGTTTTATGATATGGAGGATGTTACTTTTGATTTGGAAAATAGTTTATGTATGATATATATTAAGTGTTTGTTTGAGATTTATTAGATATGGTATGTTTGATGTTTGTTTGGAAAATAGTTAATGGAATATGGTTATTTTGAAGGTTTTATATAATATCGTATGTATTTATATATGTATTTTTATCAAAACAGCATTTTATAATATATATATAAATTAATATTATCAAAAATAAGTTTTTCTTAAAAAAAAAAAAAAAAAAAAAAAAACATTAGCAGCGACGCCTTTAGAGACGACTATTGTCAATTGTGACGACATGGCCTCCAGAGAGTATCGCCGGAAAAATCCTACCGGTTGCCGGAATATTAATAGGGACGACACTATTTGAGACGACATCAGTGTATTAGAGACGACAGGTATTAGCGACCACAGTATTAGAGACGACATGTGGTATTAGCTACGAACCAATTGCGGCGACGCATTAGCGACGATATGTCGTCGCTAATGCTATTAGCGACGACGGAGATGTTCAACTGCGACGACTTTCGTCGCCGCTAAAGGTTAGTATTTTTGTAGTGTCGTGATATTTGGTTCTTGCAGATATATTTTTTTCTTCATTTAGCATTATAATAGTGCATGAAACATATGATTAATATAACTAATACATATTTATACATAACATTACAGCTTCAATATAAAAACATTGCATTTATACAAAATATTGTGTTTAAATGACAAAAATATATTTATACGGTTTCAAATATAAAAAAAATATTTATATAATTTCAAGTGGAACAAAAAAATAATATCCAATTTGGAACAAAAAATAGAGTGTCATGTCATCAAAACTGAACAAAATGAAAAAATGATGATTAATTTGGAACAAAAAAACGAATGCCATAATTGATAAAAAAAAAAATGAAAACTTAGTATCAATATTGAAAAAAGTAAAATTTTATTATCTTTTGTACTATTTTTTTTCCAGTTTTGACACGTTAGCATGCTATGTTAACATGCACATCATCAAAATTAACATGTCACCATGTCACGTTAACAGAGAGCCGGTTTAACCGGTTAAATCGTCATAATTGTAATAAATTAGAAAACACGACATCGAATTTAAGACAAAAAATACATCGTATCAAATTAAAATTTTGATGTACACTCAATGACTTTTATGTTATCTTCCCATCTCTTAATAGATTTTTGAGCATTTTATATGATGAATTGATGCTTAGAGGGTGTTTGGATAGAAAAAAAAGAAGGTTGTTTATAACTTATTGTTTATCCCTATCCTTATAAGCCAAGTTTCAATGTTTAGATAGAAAACGATATAAGCGAAGTTTCAGTGTTTGTATAGGAAGCACTGAAAATCAGTTTATTGTAATGGGATAAGCTAAATAAACTAATTTTAATAAGCATCCCTTTTTTATAGCATATTGCTTATTTCTAATCTAAATACTTTTTCAAAAACTATTTTTCTTACCGCTATAAACGAATAAATTAATAAGCTATAAACTAAAAATTTCTAAAAAATAAACTTTTTTATAGATCCCATTATGAATATGTACAATCTTGAATTTCGGGTGCCAACTCTTGTACCTTGCAAACGAGTTAATCGGATCATATATATGCACAATATTACTCTCTCTCTCTCTCTCTATCTACACGCACACACAAACACCTACTTCTAATAAAATTTAGCACAAAATCCCATTACAGATCCAGTGATTCAATATCTTACTCATGGATTTCAGTATGGTTTTCAGGAACGTCGTCTTTTTCCTCATTTTCATAATGTTACTCCTCATCTCTTCCTCCTTCAAAATGATCTCCTCCGCTGCACCACTACCACCACCACCACCACCAACGCGGGAATTCAAGAACAAGAAAACGTCGTCTATTTTCTTGACTTACAACAAACACCATAAAAGAAGACAGGTCTTGTTCGCTAACAAGAACAAAAAACGAGCAGAAACGATGAAAAACAACAGGAACAAAGATGAAGTCGATCGGGATGATGATAAGGTTTTCTCCGTCATGTTTCCGAAGGGTATTGTGCCACCTTCAGGTTCATCTTCTTGCCACAATGACTACCCAAATTCCGTTGCTAGTCTCTGCGCACTCTCCAGCCGTAAACCTCAAAATATGGAAAACCCATGAGTCATCATCAATCGATCTTGAAGCTTCTTTCTTCTTCTTCTTTTGAGTTTTTGTGCGGGCAATCTGTAGATATTAGATTTTTTTTTTTTTGTCAAATGAGCAGATGACACTTATATGATCTTGTTTTTGGTTTCGGTTTATGAATGTAATTCTTGTTGTGAGTAGAACTGTAGAAGTATGATAAGATTAAAGAAATGAAAGGGATGAGTTTCATGTTATTTTGCAATTTAATAGCTTATAATTCATATTTTTTGGTGTGATAGAAAATTAACGGATTATTAGGAATACAAATCATGGTAAATTTTCAGTGCTTTAATAAAAATCGATTTTAGTTCTAATGTTTTTAGCTCACAAATTATGACTATAATCTCTATATCAAATCTACGTTTATAAACCAAATATATAAAATAATGCTTAAACCATGGACCTGTTTCAATTTTTCAATGTTAACAAGAGGGGGTTACGTTTTCTATGTACTTGTTATTTAGTATATTGAAAACTAACTTATTTGTTTTCTATAGTTAATTAAATTTGACTTATTGCGAGATAAACTTGTATATTAGAAAAGTTTATATAGTTTTCAGATTTGATTATAGATTATGAAAAATCTTTTCACCAATACATTACAAAATGATAAAATTAAAACACTTTTGTAATAAATGAATCAGTGCATATGTATAAAACAATTAATCCATCTCATGTGGCGTATATGGACCGTTCACAAAGTTAAGGGAGTCCGGTGACTTAAAATCAAAGTCTAGGGGTGAAATGTAAATAAAGAGAAAGTTCGAAGTGTGCGTTTGTCTTCGACCAATGCATAAAAAGTGTGTTTAGAGATCGGCTAATATAATTTTCAGATTTGCTTCTACTTCTTTTTCTTCGTGATGTATACACATATACAAATAATAAAATCTTTGTCGTTATACAGAAGCAATTCTTTATTCGATTCATTCTACAAACAAGTGCAATCACGTTTGATGCATTACAAATTAGTAGCAAGCTCTAACATGGGAGGATTTTCGTTTGAATTAATTAGAAGGATTTCATGTTGTTCTTGATCGCATGTTCTCAACGAGTAACTGAAGGAGTAGATTTGGCCAAATTTAGTGCCATCGTTTTGGGGATTCACGTGGTCTAATTGATCAAGAAATATGCATTGAAAAAACAAAGTTGATGGATTCAAGAAGCACAAAAACTCAAGGCAGTAGATTGAATATTTTCTCTAAAGGCAAGTCAAAACGACTAGCGTTTCTTTGATTTGTAGTATTTTTTGTTTGATTCATGAGTTGCTTACATATGTGAGCTAAGTTAGAAGGCATCGACAACGTTAAAAATTGTTAACTAGCTAGTAGGGTTGAATGTTTGATAAGCTGAAGCGTGAAGCTTGGAAAAGGAATAGGTCCATGAAGGGGGAAGGACATGATATGAGAGGAATGTCGGGGTATCATGGCAGGGAACCCAACTCATGAGATGATTGTCGTATGTATGGTGAGACTAGTCATTTGAAAATGAGTACCTTGTTACCACAAAAGTATGCAATCAATAAATTCTTCCTATTCTAATAAATAAACAAATTTATTCTTTTTATTGATAAGTATCATAATATCAAATCCTTATTAATATTATATATCATATGTCAACTTATTAATTATTTATTTTAAATTTTAAAATTTATATTTTTCACTCTAATTACATTAAATTAATATCTGATAATTGATTTTTTATTTCAAATTTCAAAATTTATATTTCACACTCTAATTACATTAAATTAATAACATTAGAATACAAAATAAAATAAAATTAATATATTATTTCATGTAGTTATTTAAATCAACGATTATAATTTTATAAAACTAAAAAAGTATCTTTTAATTAATAATTTATTAATAATTTTAAGTTTTACTATGAAAGTTTAATTAATTTTATAACCATGGTTTTCACGGGTTATAAACTAGTAATATATATATATATATATATATATATATATATATATATATATATATATATATATATATATATATAACAAACGAAATTCAAATAAAATATAAATACAAGAAGTAATTCACAAGAAAAACATACTTAAATATGTTATACACAACAGAATACAAACTCAAAATCGTAGATTGATGCCTGCTTTGCAGTGTCCTAAGATATAAATTTTCCTGATAGAGATCTATTTACAGGATATATCAATCCAATCAAGAACAAACTTGATTCTGATGAAATTCTCTATGTTCTCATCATGATTGAAGAATATGAATTTAAGAAGAATGTGATTTTTCCAACCCTGGAATCTGTGTTTAGTGATATATATATATATATATATATATATATATATATATATATATATATATATAGGTTGTTATTAACTGTTTGTCCTTCTAAAAAAACTGCTAAACCCGAAAATAACTGTCAAAGCAGTTAAACCAAATTAACAGATTTAATTAATAAATAAAAAATCAAAATCGAAATTAATATTTAAAAAATAATTTAATTAGTCAATGAGACCCTATAAATTCAAGTCATTTATGACTAATTTGACTAGCCCAATCACCAAATCCAACCCAATCCCTTTAGCATAAGCTTAATCATATTAGTAAAATACTAAAAATAAAGCTTTATAAAGTAGAAAATGTTTCTTTCTTCTTTCAATGTAGGATAAGTACCAAAGACATTTTCCCATTAAAAAAGTTTCAACATACCTAAACAACAAATGAAATTAATGGGCCAAATTCTAATGTTGCAAGTAAGGTCATCTGAAATGCATTGAACTTATATGAGTTTAATGGGTTGCCACATGTACATTTAACTCACTATACAATTTTACCTAT